GGTGGGGGACCCTTACCTCTGCCACGATGGTGGAGGCGAAGGCACTGCGGTCATACACCCAGCCATCCACACACAGCTCCGTGGCAGCCTCACTCCAGTTGGTGGCCGTGGCGTTGGGCTCCAGGAGATGCCACTGTGGTTGGCGGAAGCGGCGACACTGATGGGGCTTATGGTTGGGGCCCAGTGGGATGGAGATGACCATGAGGGCCTTGGGTGTGAGGTTTAAGGGGGCCATTAAAGAGCCATTGTCCAGCATGTGGGCCCAGCAGCGGTGGCCCGGGGTGGCAGCTGAGAAGTTGTCCAGCAGTATTTGGGGGGGTAAGAAGACAGAGGCGAGGAAGAGAGTGAGCACCTGCAGGGTCTGGAAGAGGCCCACGCCCCCAGCTCGCTCCAGGAGTTCCGTGAATGCCATGGCCAGAGCTTTAGGCACGCACAGCAGGTCTGGGCAGGGGGGATTCTTCTGCCCTCGAGCACGGCCCAGTGGGCTTGGGCGCCTGTCCAGCAACCAGTCAAGTCAGTCCTGGGATGGCCCCGATGCTTCAAAGAGGCCCCTCCTTACCCTGTTTCCAGGAGTGTCTGCATGGATGCCCCACCGCTCTGGAGAGGGGACACTGGGGGACAAAGCTCACTGCATCCAGGCTGCCCCTGGTGTCCGAAGCACTTTGGCTCTCCAACACTGAGTGAAAGGTCAAGTAGATTTTTAAAAAATAATAAGATGCGATGTTACTGAGTTACAGCGGTGGAGGAAACATGAACTGGGCTGCTGCCTCGGTTAAAGTTTAATCTCCACGTGAGCTCCTGGGTGAGAAAGGCAGGTTCCGCTGGGGAACATCCTCAGCAGCTCCCCGCTGGGTGGCTCAGCTATTCCTAAATCTCAAACTTTCAGAACCCTCCACATGTGGCTCTTTAAATCAGGCAACTGTTGGCCTAACCTTCCCCCATGCTGGGCAATTTCAGTCCGTCTTGCTAAAGCGCAGAGGTAGGGATGAGCAGGGCCCTCCTAGCTGGGCTTTGAGGCGGCAGGGATGGGAATGGGGGTGCCTGCGAGCTGGAGGGGGACCCAGGCCTGTGCACAATCTCTCCTTACCTGGCACCTCCTGCCAGGCAGCACTGGGAGACCAGCTCGCAGACTGAACTATTTTGGGAAGCTTCTATTTTGAGGTTCCAGGTTGCTTTAATTAGATTGTAAGCTCCCCCAGGGTGGAAACCATGGCTACAATTTCCTGGCGTCCCTTAGAAGCCCCTCTGTGGGCCCTGGAGCTGGGCAGGGAGCAGATTGGGGGAATGAATAAAGCCACGCCTCCTTGACCCCCTGTCTCAGGCCAACCTATTTGGTGTGCAGAGGGGGGAAGCCAGCCTCCTCACCTGGGCTGCTGTGCGCTCTGCTCTGTGCTGACCACACTATCCACACCTCTCATTCACTCCTCATTGCATCCCAGGAGAAAGGTGGTGCTGATTCCCCCAGACAAGGAAACGGGCTCAGAGAGGGCCCACAGCTGGCCCAAGGTCACACAGTGGAGTCACGATTCAAACCAGATTCTAAAGTGTGAGCTCTCTCCAATGCCCCTGGCTGGCTGCTGCGTGGTCTCTAGCCTGTCATGGGCCAAACCTCAGCGTAAGGCGGGAAGTCAGGATCTGGGTCAGAGTGAGGACCAGCCCAGGAGCTGAAGTCGCCTTCCAAGATGTGAGAGGGAATGGGCTGAGTCAGTTCTGGAGAGCAGTCTGAGTGCTGGGTGGGTGGGTGACCCTGAGCTTCCCAGAACCTCTCCAAAGGATTCGGGGAACTTGGCCAAGATGCCATCCAGCCAGGAAGCCACGGAGTAGGGTTCCGGGCCTGGATGTCAAAGCCTGGGCTGCTTCCTTGCTCTGCCTCTCCGGGCAGGAACTCATTATGCATTTTAAAATAGCAAATAGAGAGAGAACCAACTTACACTAACACACAAGAGGCCAATTGGGCGTAGCCCCAATTTGGAGCAGCCGGAAGGCTCAACTCTACATGGAAAAAACTGTATTTTGTGCCTGTGTGCAAACACCATCCTCACAAGGGGGGCCTGGACCCAGACCATTGCCTTGAACACTGTTTTCCCCTCGCTGGCCCCTGGTTTCTGGCCTGCGAAAGGAGGCGTTGCTGTGTTGGTGTTTCAAACCTGCGTCTGGATCAGAAACCACAGGAGTGCGGGCTGAAATGCAGTTTCCTTGGGCCCAGGAATATGCACTTTACCATAAGCCCCCAGGGCTTTCTGCTGCATTGGGACTCAGCCTCACTTGCAGAATCGCTGGGCTAGAGGAGGCTGCGAAATCCAAGGTGTCGGAGAGAATTCTTTTCTCTTTCTCCTTCCATATGCTTTAAAAATGTTTTCTTTTTTCCCTGCCCTTTGCCTGTCGTGGACGCCCCTAGGCTTTGCTTACTGCAGAAGGTCAAACCTCCCGGATTTGACAGAAGGCTCCCGGAATTTCCAACTGACTCTCTGCTTCCAGGCCAAGGAATTTTTAATTTGTATTTTGTGGTTTCCTGGAGCTGCTGGAAGGGAGGGCTTCATACGGCGGCTCCGCCACCTGGTGGTCACACCCGGGACTGCAGCATTTCCGGCGTCGCCCCTCCTCGCTCCGGTGCCCCTCCCCCAAGGGTTCCCAGGCCCGCGCGGAGAGAGGAGGCACCGGGGAGGCCGGCGGGCAGCCTCAGGTGTCTCATTAAATTAATTGGTGTAAATTTGAACCCGTGGTTCTCACTGAACCGGAATTGCCACTGGGGTTGATTTTCCTAGCCAAGGGCTCCTTCAAGTAAAGCCAAGGCCCAGCTCAGCTGCCAGGTGACCTTAGGCAGCTCACCTCCCTTCCCTGACTCCAAGCTCCTGGGCTGGGGTGGAGGCCTTCCTCTTGCGGCAGTAAGACTCAACCAGATGCTGAATGGGCCTGACAGTGACTGTTAGCCATCGCCACCATCAGCACCGTCACCGTCATCACCGCCATCACACCCAACCCTTTATCCTCTGTTTCTTTTCCAGTTGAAATCAAAGCATTTCCGACTCAGCTGGGCTCAGCTGGGCTCAGCGGGTTTGGCCCCTGCCCGCTCTCCTGGAAGAGCCTGGGCTCACAGACCAGGGCAGGGACGGGACTGTGCAGGGTCTTGAGTCCTGACTCTCCAGGTTCAATGCTTCTTCCACGATACCTGTGTGAAGAGAACCGGTGAGCTTCTAGAAAGGCAAAGAAACAGTGACCATAAGATGTCCAATTATCTTCTTGTCTAGAGAACAGGCCTCACCAGCTGGGACGAGGTGCTGATGAATCACAAGAGCAGAGCCAGGTCTTACTTTCTCGGTTCCTTCCTGCCTCCCCGACGACAGAACTGGGGATTTCCCCCCAATAGCACCTCGAGCTTAAGGCGCTTCTTTCCTCCCTCTGAAATGCTCTTCCTCCCTCCCTCCTTTCCTTTCTCCCTCCCTTCCTCCCCCTTTCCTTCCTACAATCTTTGTCAGGTTTTGGTATCAACTTTATTCTCACTTCATTGAAAAGAATTTAGCCATGTTCTCTTGTGCCCTGCCTCAGTTTACATATGGGTTTTTCTGTTTCTTCCTTTGCAGGTCTAGATCATCGTAGGTCACCTGCCTGGCCCTTGATTTCTAGGAAAGCTGAGAATCAAGGTCTCAGGAGGCTCTGGGAACCAGGAGGTGAGATGGCGGAGGAGGGTCTGAGCTGAGCTTGAGTTTCCAGGCGGTAGGGTTTTGACCAGACTGCCTCATATCTGAGCCTTATTTGCTCAGATGGGTCCAGGCTGCTCGTGTACAGGCCTCTGGCTCAGCCTCCAGTGCACTTTCGTCTCCCGCGCCGGGCTGAGCTTGGAGCCAGCCGGTAACATCCAGAAACTCTAGGAATCTTACCGCTACCCTCAGCCTCAGCCGGCCCTTCCCAAAGTGGGAGGCCAGAGGCTGGGCTTCCCAGCTGCCTGGGCTCACCCCTGCTGCTTGCCTTCCGTTTATTTCCTTTGGTTTTGTGGGAAGGGCCCTCAGCCTTCTGTTATGGGGCCTCCTGACAGCACCTGCGCCTCTGCAGGCGCCTCCGTGGGCTGCCTTTGGCTGCGGGCGCTCCAGGAGCCCACGTGGGGCAGTGGGAGTTTGCAGAGCGGAACACCCTGAGCTGCCTGAGCCACCTCCACCGGCGGCTGCCCTGCTGTGCTGGCCGAGGTGCCAGCTCCCTTGGCCCTGTGTCACTGTGGAACCGCTTGGTAGCATCCCCTGTTGGCTCCCTTCCCTTCCCCGTCTCACTTCCCAATTGATATCACCTCCAAATAAACAGTTTACACTCCAATCTTTGGAGGAACCCAACCTAAGGCAGGAAGTCCCAACCCTCTTAATGAGGGGTGACAGCTGGTTGACAGCTGCCCCTGGAACTGCGTGCAGGCACCGGACTGATCCCTGGCATGGCCTTGGTCATGCCCAGACAGTCTCCGAGGTGGGTGACCTACGAGGAAATGAGTCAGGCCTCACAGTTAATGCTATGGGGGCAGGAGCAAAACCCTGGCAGCCTGACCCAGAGTGCCAGTCCCAGACCCAGGCCACACTCCTTCAGGGCTCCCCCTTGCAGCAAAGGAGAGGCTCAGAGATGTGAAGGGCTGGCCCGGGGTAGGGGGTGATGGGGCCAGATGCCCCCTGTCTGTCCTCTCTACACTGCCTGCAGCCATATGAGGATGACCATACTCGCTGGGCCAGCCCTGCCTTGTTTCTGCCCGACTCCCATTCCCAGCTGTTGGTAGCTCTTGCATTTGCTCCAGAGGGTTTGGAATTCCAGTGTAATTGACATTGTAATGGGTTAAATGGTGGTTCCCAAAATAATATGTCCATGTCCTAATCTCCAGAACCTGTGAGTATGACCTTATTTGGAAAAAGGGTTTTTGCAGATGCGGTAAAGTTAAGAATCTAGAGATAAGATCATCCTGGATTATCCAGGGTCCTAAATCCAATGACAAGTGTCCTTTTAAGAGACACACAGAGGAGAGGCATGAAGAGAAAAGCGGAAGGTCATGTGAAGACATAGGCAGAGTCTGGAGTCACGTAGCCACAAGCCAAGGACACCTAGAGCACCCAGAAACTGGAGGACACATGGAAAGATTGTCCCCCAGAGCCTTTGGAGGGAGTGTGGCTCTGCAGACACCTTGAGTTTGGACTTCTGGCCTCAGAGCTGTGAGGGAATAAATGTCTGTTGTTATTAGCCACCCAGTTTGTAGTATTTTGTGACAACAGCCCTAGGAAACTAATACATATTTATTTGTTCCGCTTGGTTCTTGAAATTAATTTCCACCAGTTTCCCTTCATCTACCAAGATTCAGGTCACACAAAAGGACACAGCAGACACATTAATTGTAGAGGGGCTTGGGAAGGACCGAGAGGGCACAGGTCTGAGGGTAGGGTGGTGGAG